CGTTTTCCTCGGCCAACTAATGTACCGTTACCAAAAAGATTCCTCCGTCCCGCTGAAAGCCGACCGAGCATACAGAAAAAAAATACAGAGGAATAGAAGGAGAGAGAGAGAGAGAGAGAGAGAGAGAGAGAGAGAGAGAAGAGTTGGGGGAGAAAAAAAGAACTAAAAATCGTCTCATCGAGCACACACGGCGAATAGAACGACGAGAAATCGATACGACTTTAATCCGGCAGGCTAAAGGCCGATATCCGCGGCAATCGGGAGAGCGAAAGTGATTGATGGATACCCATAAATACATAATCACGGCTCGTTCGTGGTACAGCGGTGGACAAAAATCGACGCTATTCACCGACCCAAGAATTTTTAATCCCGGCAACGGGCTCGCGTACACTTTCGTTTTTTTCGCATTTTTTACTCCGTCTTACTCATGCGCCAGATTTTTCATCAGACTTGAAAACTATGTAAAACACGGGGAACGTAAATATTACAGAAGAACCATTGCGGGTTTATTTCTTTTCTTTTTTTTTATTGGAAACCATAAATGGCATAATTGATTGTTCGTCTGTGTCAGAACTTTTTATACTGGCAGTACCGTCTAAGTCGGCGCTTTTTCATGTTGATAGAAGCAGAAATTCATCAGGGTATACAAATTTACGACTAGAATGACTATAGAACTGCGAACGATGTCTTCAATATTTCTGTGCCAAAACTTCTGTTCCGTCTCTGTCGAAACTGTACTATAAAAGGGTTCACGAAAGCTCGTCAAATAAAAACATATAATAATATGCAATCGTCATTTAATTCGAGTACGAACTTTGATTCATGAAACGATTTTTGAATCGTTCCGTTTACGATGCACATTTGGAAACAAGGATAGAGAAACGGTATAATTTCCAGCTCGGATTGAAAGATTTTCGTAATACCTCCGGAGCTGTCATAGCATCGGATGATCGATAGTTCATCTCGGCTCTCTGCAATCGCCAGTAACCCCCACGTTAAAATGATTCATTCATGGTAGGTATCTGTGATACTTAGAGGCAGCGAAGAGCATAAAGCTTGCGGTTTATCTGGACAGCAAATGACTGTAGAAGAATCGATGTCGGAGCACGGTAACGAAAATCTATTCGCTCTTAACTGTCGTTCGAGACTAGCTCAACGGCAAGCGAAACAGAGCAGTATCTGACGAGAGCACGGCGATGCTCCGAAAATGGTACAATATTCTCCGGCTTCGAGAGGAACGTTCTGCGGAATTTCTCGGATACATCGTCAGAATACGAGGACTATTAAATTACTGGCGAGACGGGGAATACGGCGGATCAAGATTCGCACGCGAAACGTTCGGAACGGCTGCTTTTAAATTTGCATCTGACTCTCTCTCGCTCAGCAACGTCCCAATAAGACTCTTATCAAATCGGAAGCTCGCTGGACGAAGAACAAATTCACAATCACTTTTGGAAAAACGCTCGCACACTGAGCGTAGCTCGACGACGTGCACTGTGAAGAAGGAATTTCACTGTCACCAGCTACACGAAGAAATGTTATCGAAACTTTGGACAGCGATAAAATGAATATCCTTTCTTTACATCGATTATCATTTTTGGAGCACTTTGAACACTGGTCGATTGAATTCTCACACGTTGCACTGTACCCTAACTTCTCTTTATCAAACAATTAACTGTACTTTCAATCGCTCAGCATCACAGATTTCAAACTCGACGCACTCGATGTAAGAAAAATATTAATTTTCAAATCCGAGTACGCAATTACTTCGGTCATAATTATATTATAGACGACAAATTTCGGTTGGTATTCTTAGACGCGGGAAAATGGAATCACGGGCATTCCTTAGAACCATTTCGGAGCAGTTTTGAGGAGAGTCTCGCGCGACCGGATGGCGTTTGAACGTATTTTCCGAGTGGCTGGTCGAAATTTTTCGGGGAAAAAAGGCAGCGGTAAGGGAAATTGCTGGGCGCGCCGGTGACGAGCGTGAAATTCCGGGGCCGATAGCGTGCCTATTGAGGAAAACGGAAACGTTTCGCGGAGATATCAGCGTCGCCAGCGAAGAGGAGGCCGACGGTACGCGTCTCGGCGCTTCATCGGTCGATTCTCGACGGGGCACGCGAGCGATCGCCGGTTATCGGCGATCTCGTAAAGCTCTTTATCGGCGCCGATACCGTTTTCACTTGGCCGGGGCTCAATAAAACTGCGGAACGTTGAAATTCGCAAAAACCCGGTGGAAAAGCGCGGCCTCGACATTAAACCCGATAATATTGTATCCGAGCCGAAATTGTAACGCGATCATCGACAGAATATTCACTGCACGCTGGCGCGGAATTTCACTTTGATAAGCTATCGCGGCATTTTATGTAGACAATGAGTTTTCCACTGTTCACGTGCGGCCGAGAATACGTTGGCTGCACGCTGTTCGATTATTCAATCAAATCGGAGCACTGTTTTCTCCCGCGGACACTTCACTCGGACAATTTCGGAGCACTTCGTAGCACAGATTACAAGCGAGAAAAAGTGAAATTCGAGAGACATTGTTATCGTCAACGCGTATCTACCGAACACTTAAAAAAAACCGACCGACATGTTTTATTCTATAAGAATGACAGGACTGAAATTATGTAGACCCCTATCAGCACTTCTATTATAATTCATGTCTGAATTAAACGAGAAAATGATCGAATTATGAAAGTGTTCGTGCATTTTCGACAACTTCGGAATATAAAATGTGAAACTGGTAATTTCGATCGACGCGATAGGTTCGAATGTTAAACGAGAAAGAGACGTCAGATTTTGGATAAAGAGAGCTCGTCGAGATTCTGTCGAACGGGGTATAAAGATGAACATATTACAATTTATCCTACGTTTTACGAACGAAAAATGCACGGCCTGGAAGCGACGGTTGTTTAAAATGTAAAACGGAGTCCGAGCTACGTGGAATTTGATCGAAACTTTGTCGGAGGACCGACGGGTCTAAAAATCGCTACAAAATCACGAGATCTAAGCAGCAGACGTCAAACAGAGATATTAGATAAGGTTCGAGATAGCAGCGGGAATCGGAGGAGTCGCTTGTTGCCGGCGTCCGACGGATAGTCGAGACCCGGCGTCGAACTCGTTCCCCTGGCTCCCAGTTTAACCCTTTGCGGTCGAAGCTATTCGAATTCGAAATCCAAAACATGATTTCTGATCTACGGTAGATCGATTTTATATCATTTATTACGACTTATGCGCATGAGATTGAGCCTGTCGACGAGTGCAATGCAATTTTAATAGTTTCTTTTCAAGTAGAAACGAGTCCGATGCTCTTAGAATGATTTTGANAATGTTAAACGAGAAAGAGACGTCAGATTTTGGATAAAGAGAGCTCGTCGAGATTCTGTCGAACGGGGTATAAAGATGAACATATTACAATTTATCCTACGTTTTACGAACGAAAAATGCACGGCCTGGAAGCGACGGTTGTTTAAAATGTAAAACGGAGTCCGAGCTACGTGGAATTTGATCGAAACTTTGTCGGAGGACCGACGGGTCTAAAAATCGCTACAAAATCACGAGATCTAAGCAGCAGACGTCAAACAGAGATATTAGATAAGGTTCGAGATAGCAGCGGGAATCGGAGGAGTCGCTTGTTGCCGGCGTCCGACGGATAGTCGAGACCCGGCGTCGAACTCGTTCCCCTGGCTCCCAGTTTAACCCTTTGCGGTCGAAGCTATTCGAATTCGAAATCCAAAACATGATTTCTGATCTACGGTAGATCGATTTTATATCATTTATTACGACTTATGCGCATGAGATTGAGCCTGTCGACGAGTGCAATGCAATTTTAATAGTTTCTTTTCAAGTAGAAACGAGTCCGATGCTCTTAGAATGATTTTGAAAAATGGTACACCAATTTTTAGTGGCGCCTCGGAGTCGCCATTCGAGCGCAAAGGGTTTTAAACCACGAAGCTGCCGAGACAATCGGTACGATCCTCGGCCGCTGTGCAACCGATGGCTTGCGTGAACGAACGGAAATTCGTTTCGGCCGAAATCGTAATCGGTTCCCCGAAGATCGAGGCGTTCGGAGCCCCGGAGGATGAACGTGCACGGAATATCAATGTAACGAAAATTCCCAAATGCTTAAAGTCGTTTAGGCAAGACCGTTTCGGAGCAATGAATTTTGAGCGCGAACGAAATCGTACACAAACACGATCTCACAATGGAGCATCGTGTTTATGAATCGCGTCTCCGTAGGCACAGGCCACCGTCGGATATTACGAGTTCGGAGCGCCACTAGGGGAAGTCTACAATTACATTCCGGGTAAACAATATGAAGTCCTTTGCAGGTTAAATATGAACGTGTACGATATGTGTAGTACCGATTTGGGACGATCGCGAGGTAAGGAGAATCGAAACAATGGAAATTCGAAGATCGAACCTCTCCGCAACGATTTTGAATCGTTGATCGTTTTGTGATTAAACTCTCTCTCTTTCTCTCTCACTTTGGACGTCCATCGACTGTTCAGAATTTTAGAGCAACCGCAACGAAACGCTAATTACACGGTACAAGATTGCGTTAAGCGAGCTGTCTGTATTTTCACCAGACTCGCGAGAGAAGCCTAAAACGTCTGCTTCGCAGTTTCCTGCGAAGCAAGACCGTTTCGGAGCACGGAGAGACTCCGGCGTGGAAAATTCTCTAAATGTTATTCTCTCATGGCAAAGATTCGGGCGGATAAAAGAACGAGATAAAGCCCCCAATGTTCCAACGACTTCGTCTTAAGAACAATGTCGAATTATTTTGCTCGAGTCGACTGATTGAAAAATTAACGAACCAAATCCCTGGCGCGGCGGGACGTCGTCCCGGGGGTTTTTCCCTAGGCCTCCGCTTCCCTTCGAGCAGGACTTGCAACGCACGAGAAGGGACGATTGCCGAGAGCGCGTCGACGCGCGTACCCGACCGGTGAAAACTCGCGGATAAGATGGCAGAAATCTGTGTAGGTGTAAAATCAACGTACCCTTGGCTGCGCCATGAACGCCCTGGCCGCGCCGGGGAACTCTGCGTGCTGAGCCACCGTAGCGGCTGTATTTTCCCACAGTATAAAGCAAGTAACACTTCACTAACACACCGTTTGCGCTCACTGTTTCGCCTGATCGCGGCGATGATCTCGGTATTTTATTCAGCCTGCTCGTTGCACTGTCGGTGTCGACCGAGAGACACGGGGTTCGGAAGGAATCGTGGGGACAAGGGGAGGATGGCACCACCAGGGCCGTCGGTGATCGTCCTCGGCTGGCAGACGTCGACGATGGCCGAGACGGCGGCGATGGTAACCACCGCGAAGGAGTTCACCAGCCGACGGCGTGCAGGGCTGCGGCCTGGCGCGAACTGGATGGCGGTCGACTGTTTCGATGGATTCGAGTGTTCCGTCGGCCCTCGACGATTCCCGAATCCGAGTCGAGCGGCGGCGACGAGACGCTGTCACGGCGAAGAGTCGAAGCGAGCGTCAGCAGAGTTCGGGACGCGCGCTTGAACGTTGCAGGAGGACCACGGCTACGGCCGGACACACGTGCTTCCTCATCGTCCCGGTCACCACGCCGGAAGTATCCGCTGACCAGACGGGAGGAGCTTGGCCTCTCTCTCTCTCTCTCTCTCTCTCTCTCGATAATGTCAGTACCACGACGACATCATACGCTCGATGCTCTCTTTTCGGTTCAGTGGAGCACGTGGCCGCTCATACAGACATATGCTTCTTCTTCGCTGGCTGCGCGACGATTCCTTTTCCTCTCGGTCGACCGGTGCACGCGGAACGCGTCTGGATGTCCACTGTACGTCGAAGCGCGCGCAAATCGAAAACCGGAAAGTATCGACTGACGAACGTTCAGCGACGGACTGAACAAACTCGGAACAACGCGGAACTACGATCACTACGAATTCACGGTGAAGATCTTGTATTCACGAATCTAGGCTGCGCTCTCTCTTTCCCTCTCTCTTTTTCTCTCTTTATATCTCCTCTACTCTTCTTTGCGTTTAGTCCACTGGCCGTTCGAGCATCGAAGGGTGATTCGCGCACAGTGCGAGGACACGAAGACGGGGACTATGTATTCCCAACGCGGAAACGAAAAGGAAAAACAAACAAAAAACACCAGAGGGCCTATGCCGACGATGGTCACTGACGGAGCACGGTTCACATCCTTCCCGTGATTGGCGCGAAGTCAACAGTGTCGTTTCGTTTCGACGTTCGCGTTACGCGACGTTCGCGCGGTGGCCGTCGTTAATAGCGCGGACGATCGCGGCGCGTCTCGAACAATGGTGGAGAGATATCGGCGAGATGCGTAAACACGCACCGAGGACCGGGGCAACTCGTGCGACGGATCGATTAATTCTTTGTAGCGAATAGACGCGGAGAGCACAGGCTGCGGGTGGTGTCCGGTGTCGGGTCGAGCTCCACTGGCACGGTTAAACGGCGGTGCTCCGTCCACACTGTGCCCTCGTTAAATCCGTGATCGACGGGGGATGCGGTCTTCGAATTGCTCCGAGTCGGGAGCCACGGTGCGAATGCTGGAGCGAATGTTGGAGCGACGGAGGAGGCGGCGTTGCCACTAGCGTGCACTCGGACGGGTCGTCCCGCGCTCCGATAGATCCCCGATGTTGCCGTTCTAGTTTTCGTCGACACGGTTGATCACACACGAGGGGGGCTTCGGGGGTGGTCGATGGGGGTGGTCCGTCGCGCGTACACGATCACCCTAGAAAAATCGTCGAGTATCGGCGCGCGGCTCGACGACGGGCGAGAGAGACGCGTGTCGGTCAGAAATGGACGAAATAAAAAACCGAACCGGCGGGCACACAGCGCGTCGTTCGACGACACCGAAAGAGTCGCGTCACCACCGAGCCGTGTACAGAAGAAGCGCGTTCCTCCTCACGGCGATTACTGAACGTACGAACGAACGAACGAACGAACGAGGCGAACCAACCAACCAACCGGTCACGCACGCTGAGGAGAGAGAAGAGGTGACGCGCGAGAGAGCTGTCCGCGAGACGGCGGGCGACCCTCCTCCCTAACCGTAACTACTACTGCGTGTGCCACTCGTAACTCCGGCGGACAGAAGGTGGAAGGTCGGTGTATATGTTGTGTGTGGTGTGCGCGCGGGCCGGCGGGCAAAGGCAGCCACGGGAATATGCGTGTTTCGAGTTCTTCCCCCACGAAAAAGCACCGGGTAGAGATATCCACGGGTAAGAGAAGTGCGGACCGAAGCGAGCGTGGAGAGCAGCGCCTAGCGCGGTTTTAGATCCTGCGCCGTCCGCAGTCGTTCGCCAACTGTCAATCAGCGCCGCGCTACGCCAAGGAGTGGGAGGCGCGCAGTCACGCCCACCGAGCGCGGCCAATGCGTCCCCTGGCTCCGCCCATATCCCCGCTCCGAAACTCTGATCGCAGCGCCCCAACGGAGAGACCGTGAACCACGGGATTCTCCGCCATCGCTACACCACTACCAACGAGACCGTCGACGGACTACGACGACGACGACGACGTTGCCGACGACGACCAAGACCACGACCACGACCACGACCACGACCACGACGACGACGACGCCGACGACGACGAGACCGACGAACCCTTGGACGGTAGCAGACTCGAGAACACGGTCTTCCGTTTTCCTACGGGAGAGGAAAACGGAAACGGTGGAATCACAGAGTTTCTATGTTGCACGCGTACAGGGGCTGATATAGACGATCCTCGTCAGGGCTCGTGAACTTGTATCGTGGCAACCGACACCCCTCTCCTGTCGATAGCTTGCTCTTTTTATTGCGACGATTTAATTGCCGATGAAGCTAGAAGAAAACCGTAGATACGATATCGTACTTGTTTACTGGGATTTCGTTGTTGATTTACTGATATTATTATCAGCATTTTTATTGCATAAGTTTTCACTGGTCTCTCGGATCGGAATGATGTTTCACGGAGTGTCGGGACGAAGGCGGACAATTTTCAACGATTCTGATCCCGAGCCTTTTCTTCTTTTTCACTCTTTGTTATTTCTAATCGACTGTACTCCAAATCGACACGGTCTGGGAAACTGTCTTCAACCTTTTTTAGATCTCGTTCAGATCTTATCCAAAAATACTATAAATTCCTATAATCCTCCTCCTGTCTCGTTAAAAAATTTTCCGATTCCTGCTTGTCATTAAAACATTACGTACCTGTGCCACCGCGATCGAAACTCCGTCTTAAAATATACATAAACGACCGAAGAATCGCGTCGGAAGATTCCGTCGCGATGCAACCGAAGCACCGGTCCAAGTCTGATTCTGGAACTTGGAAACTCCGGTAACCACAAAGAGCTGACTGAGACACATGTTCACCGCTCGGGCTCCCACAAAGACAAATAAGCAAGCCGAGGCGAGGCCCGCGCTTATCTTTTCTTCGGAGGCAGGACAGGACCTACGATAATCTCCGGCGAGTTTCGAAACGGGGAGGCCGCGGTATCGATCCGAATTAGAAGCTCGCGTAATATCTAATATAACGCACGGTCTCCCCTAATCCTGGCAGCGCAAACTTCGACGCCACACCGGTGCTCGCAATTTACAAGACGACAATTTCCGCGTGCGTTCCGCCGCGGAGTCTGACGCTGCGCTCGCCGGCTCCCCGAAATTTTCCGCGTGCCTCTGCCAAGCCAGAAACCCCAGAAATAGTAGAATAGGCAGGGACGCGCGCGTCTTGGCAAGGAGCTGGCCGGTCGCGCGTTGGCCTGTCTTAAATAATGCAGCCGATGATCCTGACAAATAACGGCGTTCCGCTAAATGCTGGCCGTCGGACGGCTCGTTGGCCGTCTTCGATCGTCCGTGCGTCATCGAGAGAGAGAGAGAGCGAGAAGAACCTCGAGAAAAAAGTTGCAGCAGAATCGGAGGCGTCGATGCACCCGCTATAGGGCCTTTTCAGTCCACCAAGATGCACCCTGTTTCGCAGCAAGGGAGCTCTAGCCGCTAAATATCGCACCGTGGTCGATTTCGCGTTGTTCCGCGCCGACTCTTCTCGGCACTTCGTCTTCTTCTTCTTCCTCGTCTCGTTTTATTTTTCGCGCCCGGCCTCATCCTCCTTCTTCTCCTCCGTTATTAATTCAACGTGTCTGGCCGCGGAACGGCCAGCCGGCGGCGGTGGTCGATCGAGCTTTGAATGAACCGAACGAACAGCTGACTCCACGCAGGAATTGGGTCGCGAACGTGCGGTTTCGAACTTTGAATGGTATTCGGCGTTGGGTGAGTAATAGCGACAGGAGGCGGCGGAGGCGGAGGAGGGCAGAGAGGTGGCTGTCACCGACATCACTCAGTGTCTCCCTCCTGGCGTTCACTTCGCTCGATTTTATGACTCTCTCATCCCTCTCCCCCGGCGCACTTTCACCCCCGACCGGTGCGACTGCCGGCCCGCACCACGCGTCTCCCCTCGATTACGCGCGATGTCGCGAATCGCTGCGTCAGTTTCACCTTTTCTACCTTTCCTCTTCGCCGCGGCCGGTTTTCTCTCTCCGCTTTCTTGCTCCTCCTCTCGACGCGATGCTGCTGCCAGGACCGATGGATGCGGTCATCGGTGAAATATGGAAGGCCGAGGCCAAGGGTAGCGGAGCCGGTTATTGTAGGCTGATCAATTGCTGTGCCTTCGGTTTGTTTTCGGGCATAATTAACTTTATGCTTGTCGAACAAGACATATTCAATTTCGTTACTTTTCTATTTTCTTTATTTTCTAATGAACGAATTTAACCCTTGTGCCAGTAACCAGGCACCCCTTTGCACATTCTCTTCGCAATATATTTTGTTCCCAGCAAAATATTTTGTGTGGCGGCTACCTCCAGACCCGCTATACAGACTTCGATGAGTCCTTACCGATGAGTCCTCTAGCGGGCCCCCGACGAGAAACGTCATCCCCTCTCTCTAACAACAGTCCTTTTACAACCGCCAAAATTTCAATATCCGGCTAGATGATCGTTATTTGTTACATTATTTATCGACGCGTCTCTTTCGAGTCCACGATTCCGTTATCAGAAAAGTACGAAAAAATTAGGGGATAAAATTTGGTATACGTTTGTTTAATGACCACGTAGCCGGGTACTCTTTTGCACATTCTTCCCGACATATTTTTTGTACTCCTTTAAGCTGTGTAAGGAGCAGAAATTCTCCGGAATAATATTTGATTGCGCTAATAACAATAAAATGAATAAAAATCAATGTCTATATAATTATACAAACGCGTTATATAAATCAGTCACATAATGTAGGAGCTCATCATAAGGATGCATCTTATTCGATCGCTATAAAGTTAATTACGACCGGAAACAACCCGAAAGCGCAGCAATTGGTAACCCCAAAGTGACCAATCCCCATCATCTAATATTCCTGCGGATTAAAGGGTCGCCGCGTTTCAACTTCGATCCTTTACTCATCTCCGTCTTGGCAGTTCGAATTTCCATGATATTCAGGCGATCTCGAACATAGATTTTAAAGGAACGTCGATTGTGCAACTATTTCGCATGAATACGCAGCCGGCAATTTCTGACATCTTTAGCGGGCACATTTTTATGCGAGACTTCCCTAATTGCTTCGCACGATAATCAATAATTGAGCGCGATTACAGAACACGGCTAAATAAGGGCATGCGGGTTAATAATAAACAAGCGCAACTCGCAAATGGTACCCAGCCCAAGAGAGTCTCATTTTGCGAACCATGTTTAGCAGTCTCGTAAATAAATGTATGCTGTCTTATACCCTGATCAGGAAAAGAATTCCCATGGGATTAACATTCGGATTAAATAAATCTGTGGATTAATGAAATTTTATAGGTCCGAGAAACTTGGAATTATAATAATCCTTGTTTCACGGACGTTCGAGGGGATAATGATCTAATAGTCGGCGACGTCGAAGACCCGGAGCATACGATCAGCGCGATGGTAATTAATATTGTCGCGACAATTTCAGACTGTCATGCGAGCGGAATATTTATTTCCCATAACTACCTCACATTAATTACATAATTGCGTTTACAGCTGCACAATTCCGTCGTTCGAGTGTAAAAAGGTTCGAACAATGCTCGTATGTTACACGCTGGATTGATACTCCAACATCTACGAGTGCATAATTCATTATCTAAACGAGTCTGCCGGATTCCTGATGAAAATAGGATAATTATACGTCCCGCGGTAAACGGGACGACGATTAATTGGAGCGCGGGGCAAGCGTAAACCGTGTTTTGCGATTCATAAAGTCGTCTTAAGAGACATTGTTGAACAATGTTAAGCCGGTGCGGGCATAAATTAGTAATACTTTACTTGTCGCTCGCTTTTATAAAACGGCCGAAGGCCGGGCTAAACTCTTATGAAGTCGCTCGTATAATAATCCTATTTGCGGCCGACGGTATTTTGTATTGTAAATTCGCCAGCTATTAAATTTGCTTAGAGACACACAAGTGGCTTGCACTGTGGAAATAGAAACATTTTACGTCCGCGAACCATCCGACTTTTCCTTTATTAAATATTTATCGAGCTGCGTGGAAAATACATTTGTTACTTTGTCGTGGAAACTATTCTCGATAAGTTAGAGGCCGTTTGCTTTCGCAAACCTTTATTTTCGCTATTTCTTTTCGCGAACTTGTTTCAAGCGCGAGGCTAGTCGTAGTTCAACGTTAACTGTCGTAGCTGTGAGTCTATAGTTTTGACGAGGAAGCAACTGTCTGTGAACATTGTGCTATGAAATGGATCGTACGCGTTTCATGAACTAGTGTATCGAATCAAGAATGACTATCGACGAATCCCGATGTAGATTTCGAAAAATGATAATACAATTGCCAACCAATAGGAATCTCTAGTGCAGTACGGTCTACAGATAGAAGAAAAATTAGTAATGTGATCAGAAGCCATATTTCATCTTTAATAATTATGTAATTGTCTCCTCTTTGTATGGACCATCAAAACATTTGGGGAATCACGCACCGTTTTATTCTGCAAACCATCGCGCAACGCACGGATCTCAAAATTGTATTAATAGAATCATGCTAACAGATTGAACAGTTCCAAGGAAGTCTAAAACTATGGTTGCAACATATTGTACAATAATTATTTTCACCAAGCTTTAGCAATAATAATCTCCTCCGTATAATCTTTATTTTGTTCTCTCCTCTACGTATTACCCTTTCTCTCTTCTCCTAAAAGGAGATCATTCAAAAAACACCTGAAAATTTACTAAAATTTTTGCGAAGACACAAGTTGCTCCAGAATATGATCGCACGATTAAACTAAAACTTTACGATCTAGCTTAAGATTTTTCACATCATTCGCATCTTTTATTTC